CCCCCCCCCCCCCCCCCGCGAGGGGGTCCCCATCATACATACTTCTTCCCACGCGGCAAGAGGTCCTTGCGAGGCGGCTCTTGACACACATCTTCGGCTCTTCATATGAGAGCTGAAAATGCTATGCCCCTCCACCAGCCGATCCGAGTGTGATTCTGGCATCGACGTGGCTGTGTTTCATGGCATTGCAACGAATGACCCGCACGCGTGCATTCAGCAAGTCGAGCCTGATCGGCTGCCAACTGCCGCAGACTTGAAACAGCAGCAGAAAGCGTATTCTTCGCGCACGGGTTGTGATCGTTTCACCTGACCTTCGCGACAATGCGATGCCACGTCGCCAGACTCTGAACGCAGGCAAATTGTCAAAGTCCTTGGCGAAGCACCAAACCAAGGCCAGTATTGACAATTGCATTGTCGAAAATTTGCGCGGCTTGCTGAGGCTGCAATTGACCTTGGTGAGGGGCGAGTGCTGTACGTAGGGAGGGGCAGGTATGTTCCACCAGGATCATGGCATGTCCTTTTACTGTCTGCGGTGGCTTTCTGCAGTTCCCTGCCTTTTGCCTGGGACGGACAAGTCTTAGGAGTTTTGGGTTCCTCAAAGGGTTGCTTACAAGCGGTGCTACAATTTACTACAAGCGGTACTGCAAGGGTTACGACGAATCACTATAAGGGGTTCAGTTCTTTGAGGTCGGATGGGTTTCGGTGCTGGGGGTGGTCTGTGTGGTTTTGAGATTGCAGACTTCAACGAAGCCCAAATTTGACAGCTTGGCGTTTGCCTTCGTCGGAACCGCAGCGAAGCCAAGAGCTAGCAATGAACCCTCAAACATGTCTGCAAATTTAAGCCGTGCATTCGAAACTCTGTGTCCTACAGCCCCCAAGAGCTCTGTAGGCCGAGCAGATGGCGGATGCTACGTTTCAGCCCAATGCTGAGCAAGCTTGAATACAGGTTTCAGTAACGGCTGAGGGTTCGGGTTCATGGCTCAGCGATTGTAAGCTTTCGGGCTTCACGGCGGCTAAGGGCTGCGGATTCTGGCGTTAAGGGTATACGGGTTTCAAGCCTCATGGCGCAGCGCTTTGGGGACTGTGTTGAGTGCTGAGCTCGAAGCTGAGGATGATGAGGGAATCCGGTTCATGGGCTTGGGTTGGGAGGTGGCAGCGTCGTACTAGATATATATAATAGGTATGTCGATATATCGATATGGTACATATATGTATAGATATACAACAATGATGCACTAAGTATATTAATATGTATATACATATATATATATATATATATGTATGTGTATATCTATATCTATATCTAT